GGTTTTTTCAAGGGATATTACCCGAAATAGGACTAAAAAGATTTGAAAATTCCAAAATAGGACTGTCATGTTTTTATTCCCAAAATAGGACTAATTACTGTCATATTTTGGCTATATCAGACTTCAAACATGGCAATATTTTCCAAACTTGACAGTAATTACTCCTATTTTGGGAATAAAAAACATGACAGTCCTATTTTGGAATTTTCAAACTGTTTTAGTCCTATTTCGGGAACTTTCCCTTTTTCAAAACATTTTGCCCATGGGTATGGTGGGCCCAACCCGACCCGCAACAACCGAGCCTATTCACATGTTCATAGTCCATACGGACCATACCCGTCCGCGGCCCTATCCACAAACGGGCCTGTGAACATACATGCCCATTGGTATCGGCGTATCGCTGCCCCTTCGAATTGCAATGGCAGTTCTGCTCCTGTGACATCATCATGGGCACTATTGCTAAGGGCTTCCGTGCAAGAATTTGCCCTCCCAACTTATTATAGTTGTAAATGAATCAAATAATTTATGGTCGATTCGCTATTCGAATTTGTATAAGGTTATTCGAATTGGAAAAATTCAAATATAAATAAGAATACTAAATTTGATTCGAATTGTTCAAATACAAATACGAATATAGTGTACTCGATTCGAATGTTGATCAAATATATTCAATAAATATCAGTGATAATATTAATAATAATAATAGTGATAATGATGATGATGATGATGATGATGATGATGATGATAATATTACAATAACTATTAAGAGATAGCTATACCCGCAAAGTTTAGCCAGTATATCGTTTTACGTATACAAATTCTAAGCCTATTTGTAATAAATCAGAAGTATCATATGAAGTAAGGGTGTAAATGAAGCAAATAAATTTAATTCAATTCGTGATTTGGATTCAAAAAATATGATTTAAATTTGAAAATATATAATATAAATACAAATGCAAATCAGGTTTTTTATTCAAATATCTTTCAAATACGAATACAAATAGTTATGTATTCAATTCAAAGAATAATCAAATATATTCGTTTATACACATACAAAATCAACTACTTAATATGCATGTGTGTGCATCAACTATCCACTGTGTGTAGCTTAAGTTATACTCCGTATATCTAATGGTTTTTTATTAGCAACAATGCTAAATATCTAACATAAAATTAGATACGTTTGACATTGATATATACAGTTATCAACTTATTTCACACATTATAAGTATAATTTCTAATGTGTGTGTTAGTGTAGATTTCAAAATGTATGAAATAGATGTATGTATAAAAATATAATAGGAATTATAGATTTGTGGGTGTATTTAGTAAATGAGTGGTTGTGATTAGGTTCAATGCCGAGCTGGCCCAAATACCACCACTAGCCGAATTAGTTTAAGGAGCCTAAGGGTTTGTTTGGAAACACTACGCACAAGTGCTTTTAAACTTTTTAAACTGATTTGGGAAAAAATGATTAATAGTAAAGGTTGGTAATGCTTCAGCAAAAAGTGATTTTGAAAAGTAAAAGTTGGTGGTGTTTGGTAAAATGAGTGAAAAGTAGATTTTAGCTTTTAGTTTATAAGTACGGAGTATTAATTAAGTAGAAGTTGTCACTTGAAAACACTATTTTTAGCTTTTTTAAACCAAAAGTTGAGAAGTGATTTTTTTAAGTGTTTGCAAACAAAGTCTAAGGTACGGAAAAAGAAAGGTAATAAAAACGGTTGGATTACTTTTTATTAAAGAAATGTATTTATATGATACATTTTCAATATAAATTCATGTGTTGGATTTAAAAGAGTAGAAGTATATATTCAAGTCTTTTCCTTATTTTACAGAATTAATATACCACAAAGTACCTTAACAGTGTTTCACTTGATCCTTCAACATGGATTGTTTGATTATCAAGAACTAACCTTAAGTTTATACTCACATAAGTTAGCCTAGAGTCTACAATTCTACTACTTGTACTAGATACTTCGTATATAACGCCACATTTACAAAGATAAAATAAGGACAGATTTTATGAAATACACTTTTCTTGAAAATTCTTACTGAAAATATGATTTGTGAATGATTCTTGTACAATATTGGCTCTTAATTAACATTTGGTTAGTCAAAGTTTTCAAATCACTTCTTTGAATTTGCGTTTTTAGTAGGGACAATGATGAAACCGGAGGTAGGTTTGACTCTTATGATAACATTGGGTCAATAGGGTTAACATTTCTTATTTCAGAATTTCCCAAAATTCCGCGAAAGGGTTGATACATTAATAGTTCTTTCAAATGTTTTATTTTTACTATTTGGGGACAGAGATCATAATACTAGGCTTTCATAGCGTATCATTATATTATAAGGAGTATATATATCATACGGAGTATATATATAATACGGAGTATAATATAGGACTAAAAAGAACTAATGAAGTCATCTTTGATTGTATCTAAGATTAGATAGGTTTTGAAATTTTCTGTCGCACGCTTCCAATTCCATATTTTCTCATTGCCGTATTAAAAATTAACCATCCATTCAGAAATGTCTGATTTTAATCGAAAAGCTCTTGTGATAGTCAAAGACAAATAAGGTGTGTATCTCCACATCATCATTACATGTTGAAATACAAATTAGTTCATTATTACTTTTACAATATCACCTTCCACATTGATTTTTTATGAAGTTTTTAATTAGCCAAAAAAAATTGAAGTGTGGTTCTGCCTGATCTAGTCTGACAAATACAAGTATATATTTTTAGGGGTGTTCGTCGGTTCGGTTTGGTCGGTTTTCGGTTTGGTCGGTTCGGTTTAGTCGGTTTTTTTTCCGGAAAAGCTGAAACCATAAACCGAACCGCACTACTTGAGTCGGTTTCGGTTCGGTTTCGGTTCGGTTAATATCGGTTTCCGTTAGTTTTAGCATGTTTTTGTCGGTTTTTGTCGGTCGGTTTCGGTTCGGTCGGTTTTTTAACCCCAAAGGTGAAACCGTAAACCGAACCGCCAATGTTTAATCGGTTTGAGTCAGTTTCGGTTTGATTCGGTTTCGGTTTTGGTCGGTTCGGTTTCGGTCGGTTTGTCGGTCGGTTTCGGTTTTTGGGTTTTTTTGTTCACCCCTATATATTTTATACGTAGTATCTATTTTATTATTGTCTAATTCTGATTTCATTTGTTCTGATTTGTTTAAGTCTGTTCTGGATTAATCCGGTTTGGGAGTAAAAACATTCTTAACCATCCAGAGTCACTTCTTTATTGAAATTCAAACAAATACCAAAACAGTTCTATATTTGTTTCTAGAGAAATAAATATTATTTTAAATGAAATCCACATACTGCAATTGGTTAACTTCGGAGATATATGCCAAACATCTACCACCTTAGTCCCAAAACCAAATGTCAATCCCTTATTTAAATGTTTCAAAATAAGTTTTTTTTGTTTCATCTAAAATTAAAAATCTAAATAGGAAAGTGTGACAAATGTTCAATTGTAACAAAGTTTATATAAATTGATAAATGAAAATGTATAGGGTACAATGGTACATGTTTGTTGAAAATATCTTACTAAAATTTGGTTATTAATTAACCATAATTTGGTTAGTTAATGATATTCAAAACACTACAGAATCATTAATATTTGTTTTGAAGGAAGACTCATTAATATTTCTTAGCTCAGACTCTCGTTAAATCCGTCAGACCGAAACCATTCACACACTAATAGTTCTTTCAAAGTGAAGTTGCACTTTTGACTTCTCATTTATATCTCATATTGAAAAGTAATATATATCTTTTGTTTTTTATAAATATAATCTCTCCACTTTATAATACGTTGTCAATATATTCTTTTAGGTTAACAGTTTAAGTAATTAGTTATCACTAGTACATCATTATCGGTGGAAAACATATTAACAAAATGTTGTAAAATTGAGAGACAGCATTTGCAATTGGAAATTTAAGGGACAAAATTTACACAATTTTTAACTGCATTGTTAATTGAACAAATGACAATGAATATACTAAGACTAAGAATGCAAGGATTAAGAGATCATGATATATATATATATATAGTAATCTTCAGGTCAGGTATACCTGACCGGAGCCGCCGTCCGGCCTCCTCCTTTTGGGGGCCTTCCCGGTGGTATTTTTTGCTCAAATTTTTTGTGTATGTTCCTCATCAAGTCTAGTTTATCCATACCAAATTTCAGCAAAAAATTCAATCGGGAAGGTCGTCAAATGATTTTTGCAAGTTAACTGGTCCGGAAAATACATATTCCGGACCAGTTAACTTGCAAAAATCATTTGATGACCTTCCCAGTTGAATTTTTGCTGAAATTTGGTATGGACGAACTAGACTTGATGAGGAACATACACAAAAAATTTGAGCAAAAAATACCACCGGGAAGGCCCCCAAAAGGAGGAGGCCGGACGGCGGTTCCTGTCAGGTATACCTGACAGGAACATTTGTGTGTGTGTGTGTGTGTGTGTGTACACACACACACACAATATACACAAATGTTCATGTCAGGAGTTCCTGACCGGAACCGCCGTCCGGACCGCGGCGTTTGGCCGCCTTCCCGGTGGCTTTTTTTGATGAAATTTTTATGACATGTTCTCCATCAAGTCTAGTTTATCCACAAAAAAATTCAGCCAAAAACTCAATCGGGAAGGTCGTCAAATGATTTTTTCAAATTAATAACTGGTCCGGAAAATACATATTCTGGACCAGTTAACTTGCAAAAATCATTTGACGACCTTCCCGATTGAGTTTTTGGCTGAATTTTTTTGTGGATAAACTAGACTTCATGGAGAACATGTCATAAAAATTTCATCAAAAAAGCCACCGGGAAGGCGGCCAAACGCCGTGGTCCGGACGGCGGTTCCGGTCAGAAACTCCTGACCGGATCATTACTCTATATATATATAAAGTGAAAGAGATTGAGTCATTTCAATATGCAATATAAATGTTGCACTTGAAGAGAAAATTTTCTTTCATTCCAAAAGTTCATTGAACAACTTATCACGAGTTGATGATACATAACAAATGCAATGAAAGAACTTGAGATCTCTTTTTAATGCCTGAGATTACACAGTCCATCAAATTTTCAATCCCATGCTTAGAATCTTATAATTTTCCCCACACAACCTTTAAATTCAACCATCAATAAAGAAATATTTGATTTTAGATTGAGAAGCACTAGTCTAAGATAATTTAGGTGTATTTCTACATACATCATTAATGTTGAGATGCCAATTAATGCATTATATGTTACTTGTACTATTTCACATTTTCACCCCCTTTTTTCCCTCAACTAATTGTTTTTACACAGAGGGAATTTCAGTACAAGAAACCCTCCCAAAACCCAAATGACCAACTTCAGATAACTCTAACCAAACCTCATCTGCATTAAACCTGGCGCTAAAATTGCCTTTTACCCATTCTAGGTCTTCAATTCCAAAACCCGCCGATTCAATTCCGGAACCCCAAACGCTCCCCATCCTCGAAACGACGTCGTCGCTGCGGTAGCTGCAGCCCCTCTCCCTGTTACATATCCTTCCGCCGCCGCGGCCGTTGCTCCCCCTCTTCCGCCGCGGCAATCCGAGACACTTCCGCCCCAGCGTCCACGGAACCTTGAATAATGCCAGGACCAAAATGTCCACGACGGCGCACGGACAGCAACAGACCGCGACGCAGTCGGCGATTACCCCCGCCGTGCACGACTTGCAGCGGGTCTTCCCCGTGCACACGATCGGATCTCCGGCGTCCTCCTCCTTCTTCACCGCGCCGCCGCTCCTGCGGTTGTTGTTGCCCACCCGGTCGTCTTCCATTGGAGAAGAAATGCGGATTCCTGCGATTCTCAGGTTTCTGGAGATTGATGGGACGGACGGTTACTTCTGATACGGGATAAAGCTTTTTTGTAAAAGTAATAACTACCCAAATCACTATATAATGCGTATTTTATAATGCGTATTTTCTGCAGGGATGGAAAATGTATTAATAAAACTGCAAAAATGTGTGTGCGGGAAGAGTGGTTGACTGAAATGAATGAGAAGAAAGATGGAGAGGTATTGGAAAGGGAAGAGAGATGAGAGGGAAATGAATGCTGCCAAATGGCATAGTTGGCCAATACATATATTAGTATATTACAAAGTATACTGAGGGTACTGCAAATGTTCTATGATATGAAGAGCACATGTGCTAGTCTTTGGGGCCCTTGGAAATTGGGGGTTATAAAATATTTTGAATGGACTTCATAATTAATATTGGTACTTGTGATTCCCATAAAATATGGTTAGAGTTGACTAACAAATCAGTCATGGAATAAAATATGCAAAATTTGTATACAAATTATATATTATTTGTGAACACAGACAATTTGAGATAAAATTCTGCTATTTTTTTCAAATGAATTGACTGTGTACATAGGCAAATAGTGGGGTATGTACAATTTTTGTATTAATTTTGTGTATAAATGTAATTTTCATTGTGTAAAATGTTCAAAGCAAGGTTCTTTCCTCGCTCGTTTTTTGTGGATGCAAAAATTGGAAGTAATGTGGCGTTTATCCGGATAAGTATCTACGAGACACGAGTCCTAATAAAAAGGGGTATAGATCGAGGGTAGGATGTGTACGTCAACATTGATGTTGTTATAATCAGGTCTATTTCGATTTTATTCTAAAATCTTCTCATTGTAGCCTAGATAATAAATAATGAGATTTGGTTCTATTTGCATGCGATTATCACTCGTAAACTATATCTTCCTCGATTGACTGCAAGAGTAGGAGTACAGTATCTTATACTCCCCTTGTCCCTTGGAACTTTGTTATCTGTATTTTTTTTGTTAATGAAGTTAAACTATGATCAACTATATATTTGTATAGGATATTGTTTATGATATAAAATGATATGAAAACGTTTTTTCTTAAAACTACTTTCACAGAAATATAAAACTTATAACTTTCAAAAACTATATTAATCAAAACTATTGGCCAAAGTTTATCACCATTAATTTGAAAAAGACTAAAGTAACAAAGTTTTACTCCCTCCGGTTCTTTTTAAACTTCACACTTTCCTTTTTGGGACGGTCCAAAATAAACTTCGCACTTCCTTATTTCCTTATTTGGCAAAGAAATCTACATCAAAACAGTGTTAAACAGTGCTAAACAGTGTCAAACAGTGTCTCAACGGTGTACTCTACAGTAAAGTCAAATTTATTTCCTTAATCAATGTGAAGTCAAACTGTGAAGTTTAATGGATAGAGGAGTATATTTTTACCGGTAATGTGGGTGGTTCATGCCTTGGAAATTAGAATATGATGGTTCATTAGAGTAGATTACTCTTAGAAACATGTGTTCTCTTATAACCACTCATGATTTGTTTTTCATTTGAGAGTAATGTACTTGTTTGTGTGTGGGCGCATTCACCCACAAACTGGTGGTGCGTTAAAGTGGACTAATTTTGAAATTCCTCAGCTCTAAGTGAACCTTTTAGCTGAATTAAATTGCTTAGATGAGTATAATGTTTTTATATGTCCCATGATTTGGGTCATACACTTGTACATATGTCCCATACTCCCTTGTGTGGTCCTATTGAAAGATCCAAACCATTGAGTTAGATTTTTATGAGGTACCCAAGTTCTTAGGTGAGGGTCCTATAATGTCTATTCTTGTGAGCTATTAAGTTGTTCTTTTTAGGTGCTGAATTGGAAAAGTATCAACGGCAAAGTTAAAAGCTTGTTTTTTCTCTTAATCCACCGTATTATCTATTATTTCTTAAGAGCATCTACCATGGTTAGCCAAACATGTCATAACTTTGCTTGTCACATCATTTTTTTCTAGCTAATTCATGTGATAAGTCCAATGGTTAGCCACATTGCTTGCATCTTAAATAGGCCCCACAAATCATTCAATTTTGAAAATATACATTTTGAATGAATTGATTTATTAATATAATATTTTCTTTGAAATATTTGCAAATGGATCAAGTTGACATGGGAATGTAACCAAACTTCTGACCGATGGATCAAGTTGGTCGTCAACTATGACTTTGACCAAGCATTAATCCAGCGCCCAACATTAAGAGCACGTTTAATAAAACTGAAATCAGTTGAATCAGCTAATTCTGTTGAAATTTATGAAGTTCTGGATGAAGTGATTGTATTGGCTGATTTGCTTATTTATGAAGGAAAAAAATGAAAATATATTTTATTAAGAAAATAAAGAAAAATAATATGAAAAAATAAATAAAATGATCGTCTACAGTAACTCCAGCCAATACACCCAGAAAAGTAATTTCAACTTTACTTTTTCTTATTAATACACAATTCAGCACGCGAAATCAAAAGTTACGTGTTTGGTTAAAATGTTGGTTGATAAGTCTGATAATCCGAAAAACAGAGTCACCAAATGGGCTCTAAGACGACAAGGGTGAAAATGTATATTATTAAAATTAGTATAACAATATGCATTTTGTTAAGTAAAAAAGGAATATTAAATTTTAACAACACATATACATACTGGAAAAATATCAACTTTTGCTTAAATATTTCATGAGTAATACTTGTTGTATGGATTTTCATAGTCCTCTATTTGAAGACCTTACATATGAAAAATAACTCAATTTTCCAAGCATTCTCTACATATAATTAACGGTATGTGATTAAACTTATTACTTTTAATTAATTTAGTGTATTAATTACAAATAAATTAAATTTATTTGGAAATTACCATTTTAATTCAAGTTTCTATCCTTTCTAGCAATTAGCTTGTTTTGGCTAATTTGTTTGACCAAACTAGAAGGATAGATGCACTCCAATGGTGAGCTAGTAGCTTGAAAATCGCAAGCAAGTCCCTAAAAACAACCATTGGAGATGCTCTAAGGAGACCAAACTACAGTGATAAGTCCGTATTTAGACACGCATTTGATGCGTGTTCGGGTCGGATTTTGATTATTTTCTTGGCTTTAAGGTGTTGCAAGTCTCAATTTTGGCTCAAGTTGTGTTTAGCAGGCGTTGAATCGAGTTTCGTTGCATTTGGAGTTGATTTGAAGAAGTTAGAGTCCGGCAATCGGCGCTAAAGAGACAATCGGGAGGAGTTAGAGAGCGTTCAAGGAGGAATTGAGAGATTTGGAGGTCACCGGGTGATTCACGGCGAAATTTTGATGAAGAGCATTGGATCGACCTCGTTTGAATCCGGGCACGTTTGGAGCAAGAAAACAAGAAAACGGAGCGAAAAAGTCAGACGCACGGTCGTGCGTCTGGGACGCACGATCGTGCGTCCATTACGAAAACGCGTTGAAGAGTCTGCCTGCTACGCACGATCATGCGTAGGCAGGGATGCACGATCGTGCGTAGCTCCGTGCCACGCGCGGAAAATTCCTACTTCGGCCCAAACTCAGTTTTTTTTTCCTCTTTTTCAATAAATAAGGCCTCCATAACCCTTTTAAGGGGTTACGAACATTACGGAGAGGCCTAGGGATGAATTTAACACCGTTTTTACGCTATTTTCTTCCAAGACCCTGGGATTATTTGTAAGTTCATCTTTTTAATTAATGACAATTTATTCTATTCATCCCAATTCTGTTGATTCTTCAATTATGAATTGTGAGTAGTTTAATTAGGGATTTGGGGTTGATGAAGGGGTTAATCATCATGTATGGCTAGATTCTTGTCGGTTTAATTGCATGAACGCCGTTTAATTTGTGTTTGAATAAATTAATTGATATCTCTTGTAACCTAGACTGCAGCTAGAATTACAATTGCATGTAGAATAAATTAAGAGAGATCTAGGACACATTCACACACACTTAATCGTTCGCTAAGAGATTAGTAGCGATTAAGGGGCCGTAAGCTCGCTCGTCTTGGCAATAATTTAGGATCCTGTCGCATGAGAGATCAGCCTGGTCCCCTAAATTATTGTACTCTACGCCGCGAGAGCGGTAAGAACTTAGTAATGATTAGCTAGGCTCAATTAAATTAAATTCATGTAATCAGGCCTAATCTGCCAGAAATCTGGTTACCCCGGAAGCAATCCTTGTTCCCTTCGTCGTTAATTGAGAAGAAACCAATCTTTTATTTTTATCGCTCATTAGCATTAGTTTTAATTTTAATTCAACCAATCAATCTCGCACATCGCATTTTAATTTATTTATTTCTGTTTAATCGCTGAATTTAGTTAATCTTTAATTCCCTTTTGTCCGTCCCTGTGGAGACGATACTCGTACTTTCAACCACTTTACTACAATCTTTTTAAGTGCGAGAAAACACACATCATACGGCAAGTCGTGAAATTAGTGTATTAGGATAGTGAGAGTATGATTAGGCACTTGAACTATTTCAAAGTGTTCGTAAACCCTTTTTACATGGCTTTCCTAATCCCTCAAGAACAATTCATATTGTGAATTGCATATCTCACAAAATAGAATTAGTGAACTAAATGAATACATACTTAATGCCATTAGCATCATGGAAAGTAGTGTTTTATGCTCTAAACATCTATCTATTGCTAATCTAAAGAAAAATGTGGTAAAGATGAGTGAGGAGTGAGAAGAGCATCTACCATGCATGATACAATTTTGAAAATCGGGAGATAAATTAGATAAAGCTATGGGTACTATAAGACTTTCTAAATCTGTGATCTTACTTTGGATGTTCTTACTTTCTAAAGCTATGGTTACCAGCAAATTTCAGGAAAAACAGACTTTGTATATCAATTATGATTAAGTCTAATTGGCTGGGTATGTTTAAATCTAGCTAGTATTATCTGATCTCGCCTATTTAATTAAGTGCTACGTATGACGCCTATTTAATTAAGTGCTACGTATGATATAGTCTTAGGAGGTATAATTTTATAGCATGTGCATTTTATATATAGTGATGTTATTCTAGTCTTTTGAAGTTTAGTATATATGATTTGTTTAATTCTAATCTTAGATTAAAATAGCTTAACTAGAAATAGGGGTATCACAATGCATAAGTCTCGGGTTCAAATCGCGACAGTACTCTGCAATAACTGGGCTAGAGAGTCACTCTTTATCTGTCAGTCTGTGATTAAAATTCAATTTACATCCTTCCAATTTATTGTCCGGTCGGTGATGGAGGGTCCTCAAGGATGAGGTGTAAATACAAATAAGTTCAAGAGA